ATCGATCAATAACGTCGATATGCTGGTAATTTTCATTTAATTGGAGAAAGTCGAAGTTCGAGTATGGAAGAATTCAATTTGCCCAAAGCAGAAATTGAAGTTTTTTGATCTGATTTCGAAGGTAAGCATATAATTACTTAGTATAGCTTATGATTTTGAAGAACAGGTGTTTTCGAAGCTATTGAAACATTTATCTAAACATAATCAGAGATTTCACGCCGTTAAGAATAAACTATATTTTGCCCAGTGTGTGACGTGTGTTTTTTCATTAACCATTGGTAATATGCAATTTTTGTTTTTCAATTTATAGTCATGAACGTGTTGATCTATGACTGTTTTTGTGATTCAATCACATTGGTGCATATTTCTGTTAATTGTGACTAGTTGTGACCACTGAATTAAATAGATTGTGACATATATGTTAAATGTCTTGACAATCCATAAGTAGAATTAGTTTATTCTGTGATTAATGTCATTGCATTGAAAATTGATTCTCTGCGACACTAAATTTGTTGACCGTATGTGAATTTCTTTACATTAAATAACTTCTGTGACCTGTATTGATAGATCTGTGACTTCTTCATCTTTGGCATGTATTCATCAATGTCATTGCATCTGATCATTTCCTAATTTTAGTGAATGAAGTGTGACATGCTGTTATTTGTTTGTGATCAGGGATGACAATTTGAATGTTTGCCTGTTATATGGAGGTCACACATCACTTATACTAGTAAATGATACGTGCAAGTATGATGAGTTGGTTAACCTTGTTATTTCAGAATTGGGGCTTAATCATGCAGAAGTAGGTGTGAGATTAACATATTCTTTGGATTCTAGTTTACCTCCAGTTCGGATACTAAGTAATAATAATGTCTTAACGTATTTGAGGCTAAGATCTTTGGATGGCATTGTATCGAACTATCCTATTACAGTTGATGTTACCACTACAGACTCATGGCAGTCAACAGGAGCATTGCAATGCCTAGAGTCATCAATTACTACCATTGAGTCATCGACTAATGTGTTTTCTTTACAACAAATAGCTCAGGATATATGTGACTCGGTTACTACAATTGAGAAAGGAAACATTGAAGAAGATGTGACATTGATATCTCAAGCAAATGCTAGAGAAGTAGTGGAGGGAAATGTTTTCCGCAATAAGGAAATACTGAAAATGAGCTTGGCCCTCTATGCCATACAAAACAAATTTAAATATAAGGTGTTGAGATCGGACAAAAAAGAGTACGTAATAAAGTGTTCCCAAGATGATTGCAAGTGGATATTTAGATCTTGACGCTTGGGAGAAACGAAAATGTTTAAGATCAGGGAAATCTATAATGGTCACACATGCTCAATGAACATTGTTTTAGGATCTCATCGACAAGCATCTAGCTCAATGGTGTCAAACTACATCAGGTACAAATACACTTCTTCACGTACAATATACACTCCTAATGATATCTCAAATGACATGTTGCACAAATATGGAGTATCGGTGAATTATATGAAGGCATGGAGGTCACGTGAGCAGACATTAAAATTGATTAGAGGTGATCCAACAACATCGTTTCAGTTGCTACCTTCTTATTTTTTTATGTTACAACAGATGAACATAGGGACAGTCACACGAATAGAAATTGATCATTTAGATAGATTTAAATATTGTTTTATGGCTTTGGGTGCATCGATTGCTGGTTGGAAATATTGTAGGCTAGTCATTGTTGTTGATGATACATATTTAAATGGTCACTATGGCGGTACACTCTTTACAGTTTGTACACAAGATGCAAACAACAATATCTTCATACTAGCTTTTGGGATTGGGGATAATGAAAACGATAAGTCGGGGAGATGGTTTCTTGAGATGTTGAAGAGGGCGTACGGATCTAGAGATGGATTATGTATAGTATCCGATAGACACAATAACATAAGAAACGCCATTGAATTTGTATATCCAGAGGCAATGCATGGGATCTGTTCGTACCATTTGCTGAAAAATTTGAAGTCACATTATGCAAAATCAGGTCACAATGTCACACATGCATTCAATTCTGCTGTAAGAGCTTATACAGTGGATGAATTTGAATACCAAATGCAGCAATTGGACTCAATAAATGAAGATATCAGGGGATATTTGGTATGTGATTGTCTGAAACATATGTTATATGACTTCCTGTCACTTTTTTTTTGATGTTATGAAATTTCTATGAATATCTGTGATCACGCATGTTTAATGTACAAACTATATTTCATTTTTTATTATATGAAATTGAAACATGATTATGAATGAAATATACAGTGCATATTTAGCATGTGGTCTCATTTATAATTGAAAACATAATATAGTTTTATGAATGTGTCCATTTGTGACCTGTTCTGTGATAATACTGACTATCTGTAAACTTTTTAGAGTTAACTGTGACCATATGTGACTTGTTACTTGAATCTGTTATCTAATAACTAAAATTATTTTGTAGTTGGATGTTGGATATGAAAAATGGTCAAGATTGCACATGCCAACCAATAGATACTCTACTCTGACATCAAACATAGTAGAATCTGTTAATGCAGTCACGAAGGCGGCAAAAAATTACCCCATTGAAGCACTTCTAGAATCATTGAGGCAAATGGTCCAATCTTGGTTTTACAAAAATAGAGATGACGCGCATGGCACTTTCACAAAGCTTGCAACAAAATATGAGAAGTTGTTAAGGGAAATGAGCAATGATGTGAGAAATCTAAAGGTAAAAACAAGAAAACTATGTTTATTATGTTGATCACAAGTATAACGTTAAATATTTTTTATTTTTAGGTTTCACCTGCAAGTCACACTTTGTTTAAAGTGAGGGACAATTCTTCATCATACATGATTGATATAACTCTACATACATGTAGTTGTAGAATATTTCAAGTGGATCAACTTCCCTATCCACATGCACTGGCAGTAATAGCAACATTGAAGCTGAATGTATATGACTTTTGCTCTATGTATTACACAAGAGATGAATATCTAAATACCTACAAAGAGACTGTATTTCCTGTAGGTAATAAATCAGAATGGAATTTGTCAAAAGATGTAAGTAATAGAGTTACTTTTGCTCCAAACCAAAAGAAAAGCTCTGGACGGCCTACTGAGAAGAGAAAGAAGCCAGCATATGAAAGATCACAAGTTGTGAAATGTGGAAGATGCGGTGAATTCGGGCACAATCGTCGAACATGCAGGAACTTGGTGCCACTTAACCAGAATGACAAAAAACTGAAAATAAAGAAAGATCCAAAGAAATTCAAATAGCTTAGCATAATTTTTTTACACAATGATATTCTTTGTAATTGCAAATTGTTTCATTTTATTGCCGAACGACGTATTTTTTGGATTATACAAGTTGATAGATTTATGCATTGAGCTTTCATTATTCTCACGATGTCACTTATTTCTGGAAAAGGGCTGTGTAAACAAACATTGATTGTAACTCTGTTTTTGATGATTGTGACCGTCTGTGACCATTTCAAGCATAAAATAAGCTCTATGTTTTTTGTTTAACTTGTGTGTTCAAACTGAATCTGAATGTCATCTTCCACTAGATGGGACCAACTTGTGTGTTCAAACTAAATCTGAATGTCATCTTCCACTAGATGGGACCAACTTGTGTGTTCAAACTAAATCTGAATGTCATCTTCCGCTAGATGGGACCAATTCTATGCTTACTTCTTTTGTAAGAGTGTCGATGATAAATGTTAAGAATTTGTGACCATTTGTGACCTGTTCATATGTAACAAGTTAATCAAACTATTTGTGACCATCTGTGACTTACAGTTATATAAGAAAGTACTCATATGTGACCACTTGTAACCTACTCAAGTCATGCAAATTAACCAATTGTTGCTATTTGTGACGATTTGTGACCTGCGGTTATATAACACATTACTCACACGTGACTATTTGTGACCTGTTTAGACTCTGCAGTATTCTCACGTGACCTGTTCAGACCGTGCGAATATAGACTTTTACATCCATAAAAAAACTTAGAAGATATAAACAAAATCATTCACATAAACACCAATACTTTCACCTTGTACCAATTGACAAAAATAAATTCAAATTCAATTCCAAAACATATTACAAAGATAACATCTATCAACTACATCATAAAAATATCTGTTTGTCTAATTTTGAACAGCTATCAATCTAATCCATCATGAAAATAATGCCATCAACAGGAGTTCATTCATCTGACTTTGAACTTCCCTTTCCAATCTGCTTCAGTTGCTTGTTTTTGAACAGCAACGCTGCAATTTCAAGTCTGGCATTCCCAGCATCAAATGACATTGGCATATTGCCAAGATCATTGTGCAACAAATGCTGTGCATACTTTTTCACAAAAACCCTACAATCATGCCTGTAATATTTAAAGAAGACAAACCATAAGTAATTACTAAATGTTGATGGAAAATGATAAAACTTGCAATGCCCATAACGAAACTTACCCATTTTGTTGTTGGGGTAAACCACGGACAATATTAACATGCAGTTCCCCAGATTTGTCACTAATACTATCACTAGTTTCCTTCCATAGCCCGACAAATTTTAAAAGGTGTGTAAGAGTCTTCACAAGCGATAAAACCCCTTCGCGAACTTTGTTGTCCTTGTATGATTTGTTGTTTGAATTATATATGTAAAGAACATGGTTAGTAATATCAAGCTGCCCTAACATCCAATGAGCATGATTTGTGGGCATAATGGGCATCAACACAGATTCAACTTCTCTCCAAGCAGTATTAAATGATAACCGTTCACTATTGATGGTTTTGATTAGCTCATCTTTCTTCTCAACAATGCTTGGGTCTTGAATAAACTTGGAGTATGTCGACTTGATTGACATATCAAATATGTAGTCTGTAGTGGTAGCTTTCATCTTCACACCTTCACCGAACTTGGCAAGTTGTCTTTTGTAATGAAAGCATGCATCCAAGTGTTGTAATAAGAAAGAATATACATAAGTAATACAAAACTACTATGCATATGTGGAAAATGGTGAAAAAATTGTACCATGCTGTTCAATGATGAATTAGAATCAATCAATGCATGCCACCAAGTTTTATAATGAACAGCGACAGTGCCACATACAAATTGAGGACTTATCACGTTATCTGCATCGTTAAACTTTACCCTGTGCACACACATATGCCCTCATCAAACAAAGAATATGATTGTGACCAATTTATTTCTGTCTGTGACCAGAAATGCTGTAGTCACAAAAAGAAATGGAAGGTCACAATTCACTAAAAACACTTAAAATCTACGTTTAATTTACTTGTTCTTGGGCTTGTATCCTCTGTCAAACCAATTCTTAAATGAACTCAGATCTGTGCTATCAACTCCTTTCGAATAATTTTGGAACACGACGTTTACAGTGTTAGATTTTGATCCAGTAGCAGCATGACGTGGATCGACCTTAACAAAAGGTGACTGCAGAGTTTTCGATGGCTTTTGTGCTCTCTTCACAGGTAGTCCAGATGATGGTGGTGCAAGTGTATCTTCCTGAATAAAAAATATAAAAACAACGTTTCTTAAATTAGTGTATGACAATAAATCTGAATTTATAATATTAAAACACTAAATGTTTCATTAAACTGACATCTTTACAATGAAGTTCAGTAGACTCCAACACACGTGCAATAGCCTCATCAACCTGATCCTGCACTTCTTTACTGGCAAAAAATGTATCATCAGAGCTTTTAGGTGTCTGTGAGGAGCCAACTTCTAGATCAAATAAAGGAGATTCAAGAACATAGTCATCATGAACATGTGAAAACTTAGGTGCCATGTGACCCTTGTCCACTTTTTCAGCCACGTCATCACCTTTTTGCTTGGGTTCTATGTGAACATTGTCACTTTTTTCAACAATATCATCACCTTTTGGCTCAGGTTCCATGTGACCCTTGCCCTTTTTGTCAACATCATCATCATCTTTCGGCACTTGTTCCGTCAAAACATCTTTACCAATCAACTTCTTATGAAGTTCATCCATCACCGAAGATAAAATGTCAGAAACAGATTCAACAAAATTTTTAAGAGACAACCTGATGTCACTCAAGCTATCTTTCAACACATTGTGACTCTGAATGACCTCATTGAGCTTCAAAGAATTGTTTGATTGACGCATGTTTACATTCATCTTAGAGAGTTCTGACTTCATCGACATAAGCTCCTCTTTCAACCCCTTGTTCTCCGCTTGGAGCTTGGTTATTTCCTTATCAATCAACTGCTTCAGTCGACCACATTCCTGATTAATTTTGTAGTTAGTAAAATTGTATATAAAATGTGTTCTGAAGTGAAAAGACAATGATATTACTTACCTCAACACATAAGCAATCTGGATGGTAGGCAGCACTTTGCTGATCGCGAGAGCTAGAGCCAGCAGTCCCTGTTTGTTTATACAGCGATGGGTCCACAAAATCTGAATCTTCAACGTCTACCTTCGACAGTAGAGGAGTTGCCTCACTTGTGCCCAATTGATTTTTAGAGATCCTAACATTCCTAGTTGGTTGTCTAGGCTTTGAGTACTGCACATCTACCGATCGTACACAACATATATAAGAATGAAGAAAGTCACAAGAAACAAGTCACATGTTTCACGTCACAAACTTAAGAGACATGTGACTTTACAAAACAGGATATTCATACTTCAGGTCACAATCGTATGAAGAAAGTCACATATCATACGTTTTCGATCACATTCACAAGTCACAAGTCGCATAAGAGCAAACTAAGTCACAAGCCACAAGCCACAACATACATAAGGACAAAGAGAGTCACAGGTCACAAGTTACATGTTTCAGGTCACAGTCATAGAACATATGTCACTTTACAAACAGGATATTCATACTTCAGGTCACAAATCATATTTCGTATCATAATAAATGTGAAGTTCATATTTAAAACCTGTCATAAATGGCATTGTGAGCTCAACTTCAGATGGATCAATGTCATTTATCACAACCCGTTTCACATAAGATGAAAAAATATTGAGCATATGCCATTTCAAAATTTATATAATCAACCAAATGATTACATAACAATTTAAATGTATTTAAAACCTTACATTCTCATTTCCAAATACTTTGTCCTCCAACATTGACACTAAAGGATGTTTGTGCGCAGTCCAATTAATAATGCGTGGATATTTCTTATAAATTCTTGTGGCCACATTCCCCTCAAGTGCAGGTATGCACTCATATAACCACACCTGGAAAGCCACTAAAAAACCTGTCAATCTATAGTGAATAGTTTGTTTTGATAATTCCTTTTTTAGCGACAATAAGGTGGTCTCAAACAAATATCTACCCCAAGGAAATGTTTCAAGAGTGGCAAAATCGTCTACAAGTGCAAATATGTATTGATCCACCACCTTCGGGATAGGATGTAGCAAATAAGTATGAGGTGATGAGATAGATAATTCTAATCTTAACAACGTCAAGATCTGGTGCATCATCAAGTGAAATAAAAACCCTCTTGGCATCTTCACTTGTAACAACTTTTAAGTCCTTAAAATATGTGTCCTTCATTGAAGACGGTTTTTCATCTAACATTGGTAGACCATCGACCCCATCATACCTCAATCCCGTAACCAAACAAAATTCAGCAATTGAAAAACGAATATATCTCCCATTTACATTAAACCACATCTCTTGCTTGTTCGGTTGCTTGACCTCCCGTAGTAAAACTTGGTGAATCAATTGTGGCTGCACAACTATCTCCCTACAATGCATGTAGTAGGAGAAATATGTGTTTTCTAGAATTGCCCTCTGCGCAGCCTTAAGTTTCATCACAAAGTGCGTAATCACACTCTGTTTTTGCGTTGTGATTATTTTTCCAGAAAACCAATTCCTTGGTTTTATTAAGTATTTTCAGTCCTGCACAATCGTAAAATAAAAAATGTTACTCTGACCTTCAACACACAAACATTTTGCTGTGACCAACTCATTGAGTTGGTCTCAAATTTCTAAAATCATAACACAAAGAAGTAAAAAGTCACAACACCTATTTCATTCGCAAACAATCCAGCACTCCTTAAAAAACACATTCGATTAAAATAAATAGTAATTGATCACACAGTACAAATTACAAACTACTCAATGAGTTGGTCACAAAATGATATTTCCTACACAAAATACCCACATCAGGTCAAAACTACTCAAATAATAGGTCACAAATTTCAGAAATTAGGTCACAAAATCGGAGTTCACCTTTTTCATGAGTTTCCCGCCAGATCATAAAATAGTTGGTCACAAATTTTCCAAAATCATAACACAAACAAGTAGAAAGTCACAATCACGCAATACATAAAATAAGTCACAAAACTTTCAAATTACAAAATACCTAAAACAGATCACAAAATTATATTTCCTACGCAGAATACCCAAATCAGGTCACAAACTACTCAAATAATAGGTCACAAAATCGGAGTTCACCTTCTTCATGGGTTTCCCGCCAAAGGATGACATTTTAACTCTCTTTGCTGAAGAAGAATCTCTTTCAACATATTTCCTCTTTCCTTTATCCTTCTCCATCATTTTCGCACCAACACTACGAGTTTTTGCCATTCCAAACACAACTATTGTTGAAACTAAAATTTAATAAACTATTGTGCGGTTCGTAGTAGTGGAGAAACGGAGTGGGAGGTTACTTTACTGTATTAGAGAGAGAGAAGAGAAGAGAGAGAGAGAGCAACGTCGTTGCTATATTCCTGGTAGAGATAGAGAGAAGAAGAGAGAGAAGAACGTGGTTTCTTTCTGCACTGCACTGTACTGTAGAGAGAGAGAGAGAGGGTTTATGATAAAACGCGAAGGACGTGGTTTGGATGATCAGTGATTACGTGCAGAAGTATTATGAAAACTATGTAATTCAGATATAGAGGGTCCAGATTTCATCACGTAAATGAACAATTAGTTTATAATTATTATTAATTTTAAAATAAATAATTAACACCTGATTTTAGAAAATTAAACCTAATCACCCTAGTTTTGAAATGTAAAGTTTACAAGTATGGTTTTGTGTTATTTTTCCTTTATACATACATACATATACACAATTCGACGGCTGCATGGAGGAAGAGAATTGATGATATATACACGTGCAAAAAGACGGCTGGAGAATTGAAGGCATATACAAACACAGAAAACGATGGCCGGAAGAAGAGATAAAAAATGGAAATTGGGCGGCTGTGGGGAGAGAGAGAGAAGGTAGAAGACATGCAAGAACAGAAAAAGACGGTTGAGAAAAATTGGAAAAATTAATCACGTTCCGTCAATTTTTGGTGATATCTTTTATCCTTTATTTGTTTAATTTTAACATTATGCTTGGCTAAATTATTTATTCTAGGATTTTCGATGAAGCTTATATCATGAACTTTAACTTTTGAATTTTATCTCTCTTTGATATTCAAGGCACGTTTTCAATTATTAAATGATCGGTATGGATTTATTTTTCTCTACAATTACTTGATCACTAATTGTATGAATATTGTGGTTTGTTTTACCATTGAAAGATGGAAAATAATTTAGACATAATGTAAATTATTGTAGAGTCCGATAGGAGATAGAAATATACTACTATGCTTTACATAATGTTTAAGTACAAATCCATTATTGCATTTTTGAATATTTGCACCTGTCATATAAATATAGTCAGGTAAAATATAAAAATGGGTGTAATTCTACTCGAAAGTTATTGTTAAACAAATTAGGAATATTGATCTTTATAATTGAACAGTGTTGTCAAATTGAAAGGTTCGATATTAAAGGGGATTCGAAATCCTAGTACATGTTTCGGCATCAAAGTTTTATAACACTTGCATTTAATTATAATCTTGCATTAATTTTAGTTAATTTAGGTCTTGTATTTATTTAACTTATAGGAAAAATCACAAATTTCAATTGTTTTGATTAAGGATAAGTTAATTCGAATTTGAACTAGTACAATCTCTGTAGGACGATACTTGAACTCAAGAATCCACTATATTAGTTGTTAACGAATCATACACTTGTGGTAATTTTTTAATCGAAAGATATTTTTGAGGGATGCACATGGGAGATTTCATTATAGGACAACGATTACGAGATTTAAACGCAGAATGCGAGCTTGATGAATCTGTCCTGAGTGACTTATTTGTTGCATTATTTCTCTCACTATAATTTAATGTGGATGATTTGCCTATGGGATTATTTCTTCCACAAATTATTAATGGACATCATTTAATGGAATTGCGTTAATCAGACTTCTTACAAATACAACAAGAGGAGAATACTCTCTATGAAGATGTCATTATTTCTTTACCAAAAGTTTTGAATACGGACGTTGAATTCGAGAAAACTTCAATCAAAGAAGAGCATGAAAAGATCAAGAAATTACTCATAACGGCCGAAAAAGAACTCGTAGCATAGGAAATTAGCATACAATCCCTCGACTCTATTGTTTGCTCAAAAATTGATTTTGTGATTAAACCTTATGAGGAGAGGAAAAGTCATACTACTTAGAAAACGATAATGTCAAATTTGGAGGAAAGTTGCAATATGGAACAAAGTCATATTGAGCAAGCTAAGCACGATCTCCAAAACCATATTCAAAGTACCATGACACACTTATGCCAAAAGTCAAGGTCTAGCTATAAATCAAGCGCTCAATGGGAGGTAACTCATTTTTCTATCTCTTTTCATTTACTTTGATTAGGTATTGCATTACATGTATTTTTAGGAATTACATTAGTATTTTAGGACCAGATTT